CTTTCAGCAGTTTCAATTTCATTATTTTGCTTCTGATAGAATAGGTACTTCCCTGATAAAGAACTTCTGACTTACCTCTAACTTTCACCTTTTACCTCTCCTTAACTTATTCCATTTTCTTTTCCTGTATGGAGGAAAGAGAAGTTGTGGTTGATATTGATTAAAAACAAACAAACAACAACAACAATAAAAATCCTAGCTACCTGGCTTTATCCCTCACCTAACTGCAAATGTTACAGAAGTAATAGATGACTCAGTTTCTTAATTTCAAGTTCTGTGTCCACCAAATATATTTATGGTTGAGCAATTTTCAAGATTTCTACTACTTTGAGAAGCAAATTGTTTAAAGTATGGGAAAATGAATATCTATAATGTTAAATTTCATAACGAAATCTTTTTTTAGCTTTATCTATTATGTGGGTGTGGACATGAAAAATAAATCTACATGTAGTTACTATGGACACCACATAGAATGCTCTCTAGAGTTTTCACTGATTAATAATTCCACTTACTTGTTTAGTTTCCAATTGGCAAGGTTGATTTTGGGGGGCAATAACCAGAAACATTGGCAATGTTTAACTTTCAAGCTTTCACTAAAGTAGAAGCTATCTGTAAGTTAAAGAAAACATGCCTTATACAGCTGTATCACTTCACAACTGTTTATTTTAGGGATCCTCAAAACAGTTTTTGTTTACATCTTATAATTAACCATGAATGAGCATGTTTCTGGTAAAGCAGAACTGTGTAAAAAATTATGAGCAAGTGATTCCAGTAATGACGTTGTTGATGAACAAAATAACCCTTATTCTGAGGGTTCCAGGACTAATAAAAGCTATGAAACTAAACTTGATGACAATTTTCCTTCCCTTCATTTCATTTAGTTGCCAATTATGTAGGAATTGAAAAGCCTGTGATTTGAAATCTCTAAATAACAAATAGACAATAGCTTCTTCTGTCTAGGAACCATTATTTTATTTTATTTTTAATTAAATAACCCTTATTCTGAGGGTTCCAGGACTAATAAAAGCTATGAAACTAAACTTGATGACAATTTTCCTTCCCTTCATTTCATTTAGTTGCCAATTATGTAGGAATTGAAAAGCCTGTGATTTGAAATCTCTAAATAACAAATAGACAATAGCTTCTTCTGTCTAGGAACCATTATTTTATTTTATTTTTAATTTATTTTTATTTTTTTTATTTTTTAATATTTTTATTGATTTGGTTTTTTACAGAGAGGAAGGGAGAAGGATAGAGAGTTAGAAACATCGATGAGAGAGAAACATCGATCAGCTGCCTCCTGCACACTCCCTACTCGGGATGTGCCCGCAACCAAGGTACATGCCCTTGACCGGAATCGAGCCCGGAACCCTTGAGTCCGCAGGGTGACGCTCTATCCACTGACCCACACCGGTTACGGCTGTGTTTTTTTTAATATTTTTTTATTGATTTCAAAGAGGAAGGGAAAGGGAAATAGAAACATCAACAATGACAGAGAATCATTGATCCGCTGCCTCCTGCCCA